GACTGCATGCCATCCACATTTCAGGGCTGCTCGGCAGAAGATGGTACAATAGGACTGCTAGCTATCCTCATCTCTTGACTGGCCGGCAGAAGATGATGCAATAGGACTGCTAGCAATCCGTATCACCTGCCTGCTCACCATAAGATGGTTCAATAGGACTGACTGCAGGATTAAAGAGAATGACCTGATCAAATCACTCCAAATTTAGTCCCTGCGCCCATGTCTGCCCAGGCGCTCCTGATCGACCTCACAGAGGCGACCAGGAGCACCTTGGACATGACGATGACGGCTACCAGTCCTATTGCACCGTCTGCTGCCACAAGGCAATGGGTTGCTGCTGCTGTGTAGCAATGCAGTACCATGTTTGCCAGCACTCAGGAGACATACGGTGACAGTGAGCTGAGCGGGCTCCATGCTTGCTGTGGTATGGCATCTGCACAGGTAACTCAGGAAAAAAGGCGCGAAACAATTGTCTGCCCTTCCTTTCATGGAGGGAGGGAGGGAACGGGGGCCTGACGATATGTACCCAGAACCATCCGCGACAATGTTTTAGCCCCATCAGGCATTGGGATCTCAACCCAGAATTCCAATGGGCAGCGGAGACTGCAGGAACTGTGGGATAGCTACCCACAGTGCAACACTCCGGAAGTCGACTCTAGCCACGGTACTGTGGAAGCACTCTGCCGAGTTAATGGACTTAATGCACTTAGAGCATTTTCTGTGGGGACACACACACTCGAATATATAAAACCGATTTCTAAAAACCTGACTTCTATAAATTCGACCTAATTTCGTAGTGTAGACATACCCTCACTCATCCAAATCTCCTGTCTCTTATGGCCCTGGAATGTTTACAGTGCAGTCAATTTCAGTCCTGGATGTTACTGTTAATTTCATGGTCAGTAAAACAGGTGCAAACATAAAAAACAAAACAAGCTCTGTGTTTACCTGAAGCTGTTAAAGTGCATCCCCCTTTCTAACAGGAGGAATAACCCCTGCCACCTTTCCCTGCCTGAATATAAAAGCCACTCTCTGTCAGAGTATCTTAGGTTTATCCTCTCAAGAGGAGTCTTAAAATTTAGTTGTTTAAACCAAAAATCCCAAAACAGCATGGTTAGGAGTGTGTTTTTAATTAAACTTCCATGATTCGCCACATCAATCTGAAAGATATGCTGTTCATTAGAATTGAAACTGCATTCCTCAATCAGATTTCTTATTCATAACCAGCAAGAAACACAGAAAGCTAGAACCTTTAAAAAAATTCATTTGATCCCCAGCACAGCATACCAAGGATCACTGCAATAGATCGGGGTGGCCAGCCTGTGGCTCCGGAGCCACATGCGGTTCTTCAGAAGTTAATATGTAGCTCCTTGTACAGGCACCGACTCCGGGGCTGGAGCTACAGGCGCCAGCTTTTCAGTGGGCCAGGGGATGTTCACTGCTCAACCCCTGGCTCTGCCACAGGCCCTGCCCCCACTCCACCCCTTCCCTCCCCTGAGCCTGCCATGCCCTCGCTCCTCCCTCTCCTCCCCCCTCACCCCCAGGCTCCTGCATGCCACAAAACAGCTGATCAGGTGGTGTGGGAAGAGAGGGGGAGTCGCTGATCCTCGTGGGTGGGAGGCACTGTGAGCAGGGGTGTGGGGGGGGGAGCTGATGAGGGGCTGCTGACGTATTACTGTGGATCTTTGGCAATGTACATTGGTAAATTCTGGCTCCTTCTCAGGTTCAGGTCGGCCACCCCTGTGATAGATGGTCAGGATGGAAACAGCAAAAATAGAGCCTTTGAGCTTGAAAAGAACTGCAGACTTTACCATCTCCTTTCTTCATGTTCTTAGAGCCACATTAGTTTCCAGCAAACATATCTGATTAGAAAATAGTGTGTTGAATTCAAGTCTCCATCCAGTTGTTAAGCCAGAAGTGTAGCTTCCAATGGAAGTCTTCCCTGTACATGCACAGCTCTGAATATCGCAGCCCTGAACTTCAAGTTCCCAATGAAAAAGCACAATGGGTAAATATTAAATTGAAATGGAATTCCAGACCAAGATTTTCTTTTTTTAAGCAACAAGTGGAAGTCTGCTTTTAAAAAAAAAAAATGCAATTGAAGCAGGAAACCCAATACATAGAAAGCCTAGAGTAAATGTTCACAAACAAAACTGGAGGGATGAAATAAGGGGTAAAGAGAAGACACGATTCCTCATTTGAAGTAATCTAAAAACTAGAGCTCCCACTAAAATGTTAAAAAGAGGAAAGGACATCCCTTTCCTTAACCTCATTACTGCCCTCTCCCCATTCAATGAAGAAATTTAAGCTCTCTCAAAGCTAAAAGAGGTTTAGTCACACAGCCCAATCTTCCTTAAATGTCTTTTTTCAAGGCATTCTATCCAATACCCCACAAGACTCATTTCAACTTTCAACCAATGGAGGGAAAAAAACCCTCTCAGATTTTGGTATTAACATCAATCCCTGCTTGCCTAACCTTTAACTCACAGCTACATTTGTGCAAGTCTCCTCATGAGAGAGCTACGTTTGTGCAAGTCTCCTCATGAACTACAGCATATCACATGGCCATACAAGGAGCTGATCTATTCCTTGGTTACTTGAGGATCTATTCTACAGAACAGAGAAGAATGCTCTGCAAGCACCCCAATCCTACTCCTATTTAATAGGAGTTCTGCCATCAGTTTTGAGTGGAAGCATGACTGGGGCCCAACTGCACATACATTCAAATACCATCCATCCAGAATGGATTCCCAGGGAGTAGAATGGAGAAAGGGGCAGTTAATTAGGTGCTCATTAATCTCACTTCACCTAGCTCAATTGGCAGTTTCCCATTTTAATTGTATTCTCATGTCTATTTAGAAACAAGCAGACATCATCTGAACTAGAATTCTCTTGGTGGGTCCCATGCCTTCAAAACCTGAATATTTCTAAAGTCTTCTCTTCTAGAATTTGTCAGAACATTTAACTATTTGGAGATTTGCTGAAGACTTACACTTCTGGCCAGATTCTGCCTCCATGGCAGTGTGTGGACAGCAGCTTCAGTGCTCCTGCCTTTTATCTGCCTAACAGGGTTTTTTTGACTAATTTTTGGGGGCACCAGTGAGCAGTGTTCTCCCTCCCAAGCCCCCTCCTCCCCCCAGGCCAGTTTTTACTCAGGTATTGGAACCCACCCAGAGCCTCCACTGCAGCGCCTCCCTGTTAGCTTCTCAGCACCTTTTAGGAATGACAACGAAGCCTTAAAAAGCAGCGTATGAAATCCAAACAGTCCCCCAGCTGTGACCTGGGACAGTTCCCCTCAGGACTTACCCTGAGTCGAACAGGCATGGGGATCCTACCCACCAGAGCAGCTGTAATTAACTCTGCAATAATGGACTAGGTGTCTCTGGGAAGAATGAAGAGGACCGCAGTCAGCTGACTCAGGGGGTAAGGCCCACGGGATGCCTGGAAAACAGGGAAGTGAGACTTACAGGGTCACAAATCCCCTCCCCCACATCTTAAAATGGGTCCTGAGTAGCCTGGGAAAAGAAGCAGAGCTCACAAACAGCCCCCTGCGTCCCAATTTGGCCAGGACTCTAGAAGCATTCCCCCTCCCTGGGGGAATGCGACCCAGCAGGCGAGGACTCAAAAATCTTGAGAGAGGACTTCAGGCCCTTGGGAAAGCTAGATGCAAAAGGCCTCACCAAAGCTGTGATGGAGCTAGTACGCTCTCTAAGCGAACAAAAAAGCAAAAACTAAAAAGGGGAAGCAAAAGCTTAAAAGATCTAGAAGTCCTCCGATTCCTCCTCCACAGAGGATGGTGAATTGTCAGTCTCTGATTTCTATCAGGACCTGGGAAAACTCAGCCAAGGTTGTCCCCCCCACCACCCCCGGCCCCCAAAGTGTCCCCCTAATACATATGTATATGTGGTTAAGAAAGGCAATGAGATCTCATTTTCTATTAGATGTGTGTAATTAGCTTAAATGTTTGGTTTTGTAATCCCACTCTACAGCAAATCAGACATGATATTATACAACATGTAATAAAGTGTTTAATGCCCACACACAGATAGCTACCACCTAAAATTAAAAATTAAAAGGAAAGCGGAAGCCCAGTTAGATTCCTGGGAGAAATCACTGTGCATAGAACAAGGTGAGTTGTGTTGTCCTCTGGAAAAAAAAGTGTTAGAGGAGGAAAAAAAACAGACTTTCTGCTATTTGGAACTGGCTGGAACAAATATGAGTGGTTACCTTGATTCTCCACCCCACCCCAAGTGTCATTTTGATTATACTTTGAATTTGTTAGCTAGCAGAATGAGGTGGAAAGACATTGTGCTGAACTGTCAATTTTGCCACGTGGTTCCTCCCTTTCTGCAGCAAGTGCTTCATAAAGATAATGAACAGCCTCTGCAACTCCTAAACTTCTTCATTTACATCAGGTAGGTAAGGTTTAGATGAGTGCAGACGACATCAACCTTTCACAATTAAGGAATCTGAAAGTGTCCACCTGGATTAAAATATTAGCATTTTTGATGAGTGAAGAAAATCCAGTTTGCGTTCCAAGTTTAAGATTTTATCACTTTGTCTCTTATGGCAGTGATACATTTCTTTAACATAAATTCTTATTTCTGAAGAACGTCTCTGAAAGCAGATACACTGGTCCCATGATGTTAACCTCCTAGACATATGTTGATGAGTATTGCTGATTTTACCTTGATGACTAAAACCACTAACTAGTCAGATTTGCAAAGAGACAACAAGATCACTGATTGTTTTCAGAGGGAGGTGAGGAGGGGCTGAGCAGAACTCTTGCCTTTGGTATTATGCTGAAAAAGCCATGAGCAATCAAAGAGCTCAGCAGTAAGGAAAGACTGACATTCTCAGCTCTGCCTATTAGCAATGGTTGTCACTATCTACTAAGAAATATAGGCATAGCTAAGGGGCTGTTGATTCCCTGCCTTCATGACACACTAGAACCATGCCTCTGACATTTTATTAAATAGAGCACAGGATCCCATCACAACTTGAACTTCACATGTTTATTTCCTCTCCTGGTGGAAGTTGAGCAAAAAATACTTCTTGGGAAGTGTAGGTGGGTGAATGTTAAAATCAAAGGCATAGAGGAAAACTAAAATCCAAATCAAGTTGATGGCTGCTGCACTGAACAGGTCAAGCACTGGATTCATTAGACTATATCTGTGTAACAGGCAGGCAGATGAACAGAATTAGAGTTTAGTCCTGTGAGTCTCTGCCAAGATTTAACTCCTCAGGGAAGTGCTGTTGAAACTGCAGTTTGGTTTGTTCTTTGTCAGATCTGCGGTTTGCCCATGAAGCCCAATCCAAGATCATCTGGATTGTGAAATCCTTTAGACTGGAATTTGTACTGTTCACAGTTATCAGAGGACTGGGCTTTTAAAAAAATACTTATTCTTCTGAGATTCCTTGCATCTCCTCAATCTCCCTCTTGAGTTTTTCATCCTGAGAAAGCAAAGAAAGGATAAACATCACAATGGCCAGTGGATTTAATCCAGTCCCATTTACAAAATTAAAGGTTACTCACTTGGTTTCATTTTCTTATTCAACCCTATGTTGTTTTTTTTTAAATCAACTTCTCATATCCCTCCTCCTACTGGATACATGTCTTTATAGTTGTTTTAAAAATTCTATTCAGGGTTTCCAAGCAGTAAGAGGAAGCCTTCTTTCTTATTTCTTTTTCACTTCTGAAAGCACAGAATTGTGAACCAGGAACTCTGGAGTTCTAACCTTCGCTTTCATGCAGACTCTTTGTTGAACTGGGTAAGCCACTTCACCTCTTTGCCTCTGTTCTTCCATGAGTATGATCAAGTTACCTATCTACCTTATGGGGTAAAGAGGATGAATGTGTGCAATTACATTAAAAATGAAAGCCACGATATAAATATTATCTGGACCGCCTTCCTAGACCCTCATTTTCCTGTTTGTGGCATGCTGCTCTTTTCTTTATGCCATCTCAGAAAAGGGAAATAAATGCTCATGCGTCCTTGATTTTGTCTCTTTCCTGAAACCCCCCTGCTTTTCTTATTAAGTTTTATTCCTCCAATATACTACTTATTCTTTTGGAATATCTCCTGTTTCCAGTTAAATGTTTCATCCTAGTTCCATCAAGAGGAACTTGAGCTGAGGAAGCTTGAGCTGAGGAAGCTACCCATTTGGCTGAATATGGCCATTTCCTGTTCACATTCTGGAATTCATCAGTTTGATACCCTGGTTTCCTTTGGTTTGGCAACGTTTAGCAGCTGAGTACCTTCATGCAGTAATGGATAATGCTCTGGAGGTGGCAGCACTACCAACTCAGCATGTTGCAGATGGCTGGCTGAGACTCCCTGCCGACCTGCGGCCTGAACCCCAGCTGAATAATTCAGCTACAGCAACACAGTCTAATGACAGATTTTAAAATACTGTGTTTGTCATAACAAAGTTGCATACTTCTATGATGTTGCCTTACATGTCAGTTTTTATTCAATAATACAGAGAATGAAGGAGTAAGATCTGGCTGACTTGTCTAGATTACTTTACTTGCATTTTTGATAATTACGATGTAAACAATAACTGATTACAAGTAATTTGGTGGGTTTCTAATCAGTCCTTGACTAACAGTAATAAACTGGCAATACCCAGGCCATAACTGTATTTCCCCACACAGTAGACAGGGTGAACTTATTGTCAGGCCAGTGTAAGGGAGGCTATTAGCCTACCAGTTCAGTTTCATCTGTTGTCTCAAATGCATGGCAATCAAGTGATACTTGAAGTGTGGTTATAATGAGAAAGCTATATAAAAAGGCACCATGTTATTCAGATCTGCTTTTTTGTTGTTGTATTCAGTCATATCTACTTTAATGACAAAAATATATTTTTACAGCTGCTAGCAGTGCAAAGCCAAAAGAGACTGCTATAGGAAAGTGAGATGGATTCTATTCTATTTGTGTATCATCAAAACAATTACAGCAAGATCCTGCAAATGGAATGTATCATGACCCATAATGAAGAGAAAAAAAATCTGTTTAACTTTTGAATTCCAAGTTGAATTTGCAGCAGTTTGGCCAACAGGTTTTGGGCTTTTTTTTTTTTTTAAACTTGTAACCTGGAAAGATTCATATGGAAAACATTAAACAGGGAGCCCCACCATGCCATTCTCATATAGTCCTTTTTTCAGAGGCTAGCCACATACAGAGAAGGGTGAGAAACAAAGTTATAAGGACCTGAATTTTTTTTTACATATATATATTTATATTCTATAATAAATATAGCATGATATATCTTCTACCATGCCATATGCTAAAATTTAAAAGATACAGATGTCTTCCCATGCCTGAGGTATTTAACATATTCTATATGTCACATAATATTAATAGTCATGGAAGCTTACCTAAATTACTAAGCTGTATTTCCATCTTTTTTTTACCAACTGTTCTTTCTGGTATTTTTGAGTTTGCTACAGCTACTAGGACAGCCATACTTGGATACAGTATCAACCACTCAATGGTTTTCATTATGTTGCTTGATTGCTTGCGGCATTCTGAAACTACATGCAATGAAAAGGCAAGTGTCTGTGCTAAGGAACAGACAACTATAAAGTGATAAGATAGAACACCTTTGAAGGTGAAGACAAAATGAGCGAGCTTAGAGACCTCTCTCCCAACTCTCCAAATCAGGGTTGAAGTATATACAGGCAGGGCAGCATAAGGAACCTTTGCTGAATCTTTCTGTGAACTTCAGTTTCCAGGGCTCTCAACCCACCAACTCTTACCAGCAGTAAATTCACAAAAACATACAATTTAAAGAGAAAGTTCACTAGTAGACTACAGCGTGTGAAGTTTGCCACTTAAATAAGAAGTGCTGAAAGATAGGGTTTGAGGAAGTTTATGTCTAAGCCTGCTTAAACGTAGTTTGTATACTATAAAATAAGAATTATCTGCAAATTTTTAATAAGTTACTACCACCCAAATTACTGTTAGTTTAAAAGTTGATTTTAATGGGAGTCCATCAAAACATTTTGAAGGGCTTAGGCAATAAATATTCAAAACAAGATTTGCTTTTGGATCTCTCATAAAATTGCCCAGTGACAAATTTTACCAAATTACCAATTTCACAGGTAGATTGATATTGAATAAATGTTTTCTCATCTGATCCCAGAGGTCAAATACATATATAAGTCTATAAGTGGATCTAAAATTAAGTTTTAAAGGGTTTTTTGTTACATGATCATATGGGAGTGTCAGTGAGATAAAGAGCAGAAATTGCTACCTCATTTGTGATAACTGGCAGCTCTGAAGCCAGATTCATCCACTGAACAGCTGCAGAGTTATTCCCCAGGTCTCTGTAGCACTGTAAAGAAAAATGGCAATAATGAAAAGTCTCAAGAAACAGGAAAATAGATGTCAGTCAGCCACTCTGAGGGATTGGAAAAGCCAGCTTGTAATTGATGAAAAGGGCTCTTTTCACCTTTTAAACACCTACATTCAGCAATCTCAGGACTCTGCCATCTTTCCTATAGACCCCTTCATGCAAAGCACTATAAATGATACCATGTCACAAAATAAATAATTTATTTTTGATAGGAGGTTTTACAGTTCCTTATTCCTCCCCTAATATGGGCACCATTTCCCTGAGCTTGTTCTTATCTGGAAGTATAGCATCTATTTCTCACTGTTCTCACTATTCCTTGAGTCACCTAAATAGCCAGTGTGCAGTATGGACTCCCATACCTCCAGAGTAAGCATGGCATTTTATCAAGTACCTTTGTCTTCAACAGCCCAGAAACAAGAGTCCAAAATCTAATTCCAAGCTCTGACACCTACTGTCAAACTTGACAGACTTTCTAAACCCACTTCCCCCACCTTCAACAGCACCAAAAACAGTTATCCCATTGGCATAAGCAGGCCCAAGTTTTCTTAAAATGAATTCTAACCCCATCTTTCCAATGCTGACTGCAAGAGAAGCCATGTTCTGGACCCTCTGTATTATGTAGCAAGCTGGAATTAAATTCAGCAGCAGAGCCCTCGAGGTTCTGTAGTGCTCTAGATTAGCCTGCAATACATTCTGGAGAAGCTTCAGGTAATTTTCATAAAAAATTCAAATTTTTAATAGGTGACTAATGCAATTAGTATACAATTCCTTCTGATTTTAGTTCTCAATTAAATTCAGCTATTTTTACACTGCCCCATAATTTTCGTTTTTGTGCTACATATTTATGCCCATAACTCCTAACTGCCTTGTAGAAATTGTCATGGAGGAAAGCTGGAGGCTTTGGTAGCTGGATAGTGATATTTGAACTTTTAGTTCCCAGAGAGTCATGGGAGGCAGTTTGGGATTGTGGGAGATGCATGTTATCTAGAGAGACTGTTGCTACAAGTGATCAGCAGTGAAAGTTAGCAATGCTGAGGTTTGTTACTAGTTTCAAGAGCTGAAACTCCATTGGGATTGATGGGTCAGTTCACACCTCTCAGAGCTATTGTTTCAGGCTCTTACACTTAATGGCATCTTTAAATATAGTTGACATTTTAAAATAGTTAAGGGCCATACGTTTTTTGGTTTTTAAGCTTGGACTCGGGAACACAAACTGTCAATGGATAGATTCTGCTACATATTTATGAACTCAGGAAGTATCATGTTTGATACTTGTCCAAAAGGCTCCAATTCTCGGCATTAGGCCCAGAGTCTCAGAAAGCAACTGCACAGCAGGTTTCTTTTCCTCTTCTGCATTTTGATCCCTTAGTTAAATTCTACTTCGTTCAAAGTAATTAAATATCAAGTGAATTTAGAAATCCTGTGATCAGATATTCAACTCAAGAAGACAAAGTGGGATATGGGGAAAGAGACAAAGCACATTGGGACCCCACCACATTCTCTGGCAGGTTGTGTCTTCAGAATATTTCCTCTTCTGAAGCTCAAGCACTTCTATCAGAAACACTGTGTGTGTTTTATTAGGATAACAGTGAATCTAGTCATTATGGGGAGGTATGACAAAGTAGGAATTTTCTGTACTATTTTTATGAATCCTATGTGTGCCACAATTTCTTCCTATACTTTGCACTGCTATGGGAGGGGGAGTGAGGAGGAGGAAAGGACTAAATTTGTTCTCAGGGCAGATTATGAGACATGGGGGGGTCATCCTGTGTGTGGTTTGAGCAGACTGCATGGGTCATTAAAAGGACTGGCCCAGGCCTACCCATATAAGTGGGCAATCCAAAAGAACCATGGAAAACCCCAATTACCAGAACACTGACACCTAACAACCAACAATCCAGAGGGAGGAGGTTTTCTCTGCCCCTCAGCATGGAAGCTGAGCAGGACCCCAGCTTGGGAGTAAAGGTCAGAGATGTGTCAGGTGGGGGAAAAGAGAGCTGGTTTCTGGGAGAGGCTGAGTGACTAAGGAAGTCAGAGACAGAGCCTGAAAATGGAGTTCAATGGAACTTGGCTGGTGAATTGCTCTGGCTCGACTAGAATGGACTATGCTTTAAATCTCTCTCTGTGCTAGCCTAAGGACATCCAATGCTGTGTTCCAGCTGACTAATAAATCCTAATCTGTTTGGAAAATGCTGCTTGGGTGTCACTGCAAATACTTGCTGAGGTTCATTCATCCCTGAAGACTGTACAAGCCTCTACCAGGCGTCTATCTTGGGCCTGGTCTACACTACAGAGTTAGGCTGAGGTAAGGCAGTTTACATCAACCTATGTCAGCATCTACACTACAGCCTTGCTCCAGCAGATATAAGTGCCCTACTACATCCATATAACCTCCACGAAAGGCATACGGCTTATGTCGGTGTAGTTAGGGCCATACAGTGCCTCCACAGCCATGAAATTGACAAGAAATGCTGGTAGGTTCCCTGCTGTAACACTCCCCTCCCCCCGCCTCTCAGCTGTGCTGTCACCCCGGGGTAGATGGGGGGCTCTCAGCTCCCTGCAGAGCTAACTAGCTGGTGCCCAGGTTGGGCTCCCAGCACTTCTCTCCCTCCCCCCAGGCAGCTGCCAGGCTCCCCGCTCCCTGCCCGAAGCCTGGGTGGCAGCTAGGCAGCTCCACGGGGACCCAAGAACCTGAGATCTCAGCCCCTACACTTCCCCTCTTGAGTCGCTGGAAGTGCTTCTGGTGAGGATGTGCACCACCGACAGAAGGGGGGTAGTGTCAACACAAAAAAACGCAGAAATTACTACGGTGGCTGTAAGTTGACCTATTTTGTAGTGTAGACATGTTCTCGCAGTTGGATTCACTGAACAGAGCTCACAGTGTGAAGCAGAAGTTCTGGAAGCCAGAGGCTCAATCTAGGAAGTAGTGAGGCTGCAGGGCCTATCCTGAAGGAAAAGTGGGACTCCTTGAGGTCGGGCACACTGGAGGGTTTCCTCCAAGAGACTATTTAAAAGCTGGGGCATAGTGCAGATCCTGTGGATCTGTGACAGGAGGTTACAATTTAACCACATTAAAGCCCTACATGAGAAATTTTCCTGTAACTCTTAAAATGTTAGCTGAATAATTAAGGTAAACCATAAGATTTTCCAATTATGGGACTGCAAAAGTTGCTGCCCCCTTCTATTAAACATGGAAGTAGTAGTGTGGTGGTGGTTTTTATTCTTAAAAGGGGCATACAGGAAAGATGTGGATTTTGAATATGCACAGATACAGGTTGGGCGTGGCAGCAAATGGGAAAAAAATACCTACACGAACTTTCACTGTCGTAAATACTAAAAGGATTTGGAAACGAGAAGGTGAGCTCATTTGTGGGTGGAAAATTTAATCTAATGGGATACATAATTTCCATTCCTACACAGGCACATACAGCTAGACATGGTATGTCAAAGGCAGAACTGTGGTAGGTGCAAGGGCCTCTAAGCACCTATTAGCTCCCTTCCTGGTTTGAGATCAACTTTCAAGGTTTCATAAAATAGACTTTTTTTGTCAAATAGACTCTTCACCTAGTTTCAAATGCTAATAAATTCCAAGCTGGGAAACCAACCTTAAACTAGCACGCTACCCAGATAAAAATTACAATCTTTGGGAACTGGGAATACAGTGATTTCACAGAAAATGACTACAGCTACACTTTGCTACGCCCACTCTGGCTGCTGTTACTAAAGCTGTTTGGGCTTTAAATATTTCCTAGACTCCAACAGGAGGCCAAAGGAACTAAGCATCAGTTTTAGCATTTAAAAGATTCAAAAACAATTATTTCCCTCAACACAAACAACAATAAAATCAGCAGATCTTCTGCTTCAGGCCAACACATTCATGGTCTGTTTAATCATTGCCATCCATGCTGGAAAAAGAAGGTCAAACTGGGTATTTCACTCTTTCCGGACTCTCTTCTTGCACACAGCTTAAATGTGAGGATCAGTAAACAGATGATTTGGCTCAGAAGTTAACAATGTTAATTTTTAACCAAAAAAAAAAAAAAAAAAAAAATCTGCGTAAAGTAACCTGGATGCCCCTTGGAAGAGCTATAAAGACAAAATAACCAACAAAGAAAGAGCAGCTTAGAGTTCCATATCCTCCTGTCCCAGATGAATTGTTATTTCCCTGCCCATTTGTAAAAAAACACACAATATTAACTTATAAGTGACTATATTTATATACAACACTTTGCATTTCTACAGCATCTATAATCCACGGACCTCCAAATGCTTTACATACACGCCATACTGTACAAGCATATGGACTGAAGAGAACAAGATTAACTTTGTTCCAGTGTAAGAAATGACTGGTTACCTTAGCAATGTACACCCTTCCTGCTTTGGAAAATCCTGAGCTCAGCTTTTCAGCCTACAGAGGAGGGGAGAGAAGGATTCAGTAGGATTTCAGAAGGACCCAGTTTGAACAGTTTTTTATTGCAACTCAAACAAATGTTGTCTTTAACACATGGGGCTGACTTACATACAGTTTGTGCACCAATTTAACTTTTATCTGTTTAGAAACAGATGGAGTTAAATTGGTGCAATCCGCCCAAGAGTACTTTATATCAATTTAGATTAATTAGGAATAGATCACCCCTCAGATTTCCACAAAGTGCCTGAGATTTAATGAGCAATGTTTATGTCCTACTCTAATATTACACACTAAAAAAAACTACATTAAAAAAACCAATAAGGTTGCAAAGTCATGAGCTCAAAAGTTAGGAAACAGCAGAATTAAGATTGCCTGTGGAGGCCTATTTCGTCCCCCTTGTGCTTAAGCATTACAAGATAATACACAATTTTTTGACTCATCAGATGTGTCTCCTCCTCCCTCATGGGTCCCAATCTCCCCCACCCCAACTTCTAAACTTACTTCTTCCCACTGCCCCACCAGCCTCCAGTTCCAGTCTCCATCCCCCAGGCTCATGGGCCCAAACTATTTACCACCCACTCCACCAGCTCAAGCCCCTGTCCCTTCTTCATTCAAATGAGGCAGCTTCCTCCTCCATGCCGCTTAAGCTGGGGAGTGAGGAGGGGACAATGAACACACAAAAAAGGCAGTCTGCCTTGCTCTGTTCTGGTGGCTGGACCCAGAACTGACCCAGCCTGCAGCAGCCCAGATCTGCAATTGAGGAAAAGTCCTGCTCAACCCCAAGCTGGAACAACCTCAGAGTGGTGGATGGAATCTTAATTTTTTAGCTATGAAACTCCAGTAAGTCTGAGCCTGTGCAAACTGTGATTTTTTTTTAAGGTTTAGAACATACATTGGGACAGATTTTTAAAGGGATGGCAAAAGGCATCGCTGACATCAAGGCTACCACTTGCCAAATTTCAAAATATGCTCCAAAACATGGGGGTGAGAGCTTGTCAAACACAAAAATCATCAGGTTTTTTTTAAATGGAAAATACACTTTTCCCTAGCCTTGTTCTCAGAAATTAATGGACCATATTTGGATGACATTTTCAAAAAAAATTCATCCCAAGGCAGATACCCAGCATGAAAAATTTCAGCCTGAAAAGTTACAGTCCAGCAGAGTTAAAAGCAACTGAAAAACAGGATCTTACAATAGGAAGTGTTGGGCAATCTTAATAGGCAGTGCTGCCAGCCCCACCTATAAATTGTAGAGTAATAGTTTCATACAGTATTCAAAAGCACTATATACCAGTACAGTCCAAAGCAGGATAGTATGTTTAACTGATCCATATCATACAGTCTCCAGAAATATTTAAGTATTAGAGCTATAAATTTAACAGTTTCCTTGCCCCCCAGATTTTAGTACCTTTAAAAGGTTCTGCAATGCATCATGGACAGTGGCTGTAGGGGGTGCTTCATACAAGGCAGAAGCAGTCTTTCTTTCAAGCCATCCCAGATGAGCGATCTGCACAGAAACAGTAACATTAAACTACCAGCAAGGAAGTCAGTAGCCTGCATGCATCCCTAGGAATTCCCACAGTATATGCAAAGCATACAGGGACACCTTCATATCCACAGTATCTGCAGCAACCTCGAAGTCACGTAAAAAAAACATTTTGTTAACATCAGGTGACTCTGCCCAGATACACAAATCAATCCATCTGCAGAACTTGCATTCCTTCTCCCCCCTGCCTCAACCACCATTTGGATGATTAACAGTGACACAAATATGGCTCAGAATAAAATTGGTCTCCGCAACTGGATGGCTCTGTCTAGGAAGCTCTCTGGACTGTTTAAAATCTGACCATCACCTTATTATAACCACATCTGTTTCTGGTGACTCACCTGCACACCAGAGCAGACCCATGTTCTCCCCCTCCAAAAAGAAAAAAATTGGGGGATTAAGTCTTGTACCAGAGTATGCCTTTACCATATATACACAGACCTCGAGAGACAAGCTTTCCACCAACACCATAAGAACATAAGAACGGCCACACTGGGTCAGACAAACGTCCATCAAGCCCAGTATCCTGTCCTCTGACAGTGGCCAATGGCAGGTGCCCCAAAGGCAATGAACAGACAGGTTATCAATTGATCCATGCCCTGTCACCCAATCCCCTCTTCTGGCAAACAGAGGCTAGGGACACCATTCCTGCCCATCCTGGCTAATAGCCATTGATGGCCCTATCTTCCAGGAAGCTATCTAGCTCCCTTTTGAACCCCGTTATAGTATTGGTCTTCACAACACCCTCTGTCAAGGAGTTCTAGAGGTTGACAGTGCGTTGCGTGAAAAAAATACTTTGTGTTTGTTTTAAACCTGCTACCTATTAATTTCATTTGGTGGCCCCTTGTTCTTGTATTATGAGAAGGAGTAAATAACACTTCCTTATTTACTTTCTCTATACCACTCATGATTTTATAGACCTCTATCATATTCCTCCTTAGTTGCCTCTTTTCCGAGCTGCGAAGTCCCAGTCTTATTAATCTCTCCTCATACGGAAGCCGTTTTATACCCCTAATAATTTTTGTTGCCCTTTTCTGAACCTTTTCCAATTCCAATATATCTTTTTTGAGATGGGCCGATCACATCCGAACACAGTATTCAAGGCGTGGGCATACCATGGATTTATACAGAGGCAATATGATATTTTCTGTCTTGTTATCTATCCCTTTCTTGATGATTCCCAACATTCTGTTCGCTTTTTTGACTGCCACTGCACACTGAGTGGATGATTTCAGAGAACTATCCACAAGGACTCCAAGATCTCTTTCTTGAGTGGTAACAGCTAATTTAGACCCCATCATTGTATATATATAGTTAGGATTATGTTTTCCAACGTGCATTACTTTGCATTTATCAACATTAAATTTCATCTGCCATTTTGTTACCCAGTCACCCAGTTTTGTGAGATCCTTTTGTAGCTCTTCGCAGTCTGCCTGGGACTTAACTATCTTGAGTAGTTTTGTATCATCTGCAAATTTTACCACGTCACTGTTTACCCCTTTTTTCCAGATGGTGTATGAATATGTTAAATAGGACTGGGCCCAGAACAGATCCCTGGGGAACACCACTATTTACCTCTCTCCATTCTGAAAACCGACCATTTATTCCTACCCTTCATTTCCTATCTTTTAACCAGTTACCAGTCCATAAGACCACCTTCCCTCTTATCCCTCTTATCTTAAGCTTACTTTGCTTAAGAGCCTTCAGTGAGGCTTTCTGAAAATCTCAATACACTATATTCACTGAATCTCCTTTGTCCGCATGCTTGTTGACCCCCCTCAAAGAATTCCAAAGACTGGTGAGGCATGATTTCCCCTTAACAAAAACCATGTTGACTATTTCCCAACAAATTATGTTCATTTATGTGTCAGACAATTTTGTTCTTTATGATAGTTTCAACCAATTTGCCCGGTACTAAAATGAGGCTTACTGGCCTGTAGTTGCCAGGGTCACCTCTGGAGCCCTTTTTAAAAATTGGCATTACATAGCTATCCTCCAGTCATTTGGTACAGAAGCTGATTTAAATGATAGGTTACAGATGACAGTTAGTAGTCCTGCAATTTCACATTTGAGTTCCTTCAGAACTCTTGGGTGAATACCATCAGGTCCTGGAGACTTATTACTGTTTACTTTATGAATTTGTTCCAAAACCTCCTCTAATGACACCTCAATTTGGGACAGTGCCTCAGATCTGTCACACAAAAAGAATGGCTCAGGTGGGGAACCTCCCTAAGATCCTCAACAGTGAAGACCAATGCAAAGAATTCAGTTAGTTTCTCCGCAATAGCCTTATAGTCTGAGTGCTCCTTTAGCATCTCGATCGTCCAGTGGCCCCACTGGTTGTTTAGCAGGCTTTCTGCTTCTGATGTATTTTAAAAAAATTTTGCTATTACTTTTGGAGTCTTTGGCTAGCAGTTCTTCATATATTTTTATACTTCATTTGCCAGAGTTTATGCTCTTTTCTATTTTCCTCATTAGGATTTATCTTCCACTTTTTAAAAGGATGCCTTTTTGCCTCTCACTGCTTCTTTTACTTTGTTGTTTAACCACGGTGGCTCTTTTTTGGTTCTCTTATTCTGTTTTTTTAATTTGGGGTATACATTTAAGTCGAGCCTCTATTATGGTGTCTTTAAAAAGTTTCCAAGCAGTTTGCAGGAATTTTACTTTTGGTCCTGTACCTTTTAATTTCCCACTAACCTCCTCATTTTTGTGTAGTTCTTCTTTCTGAAATTAAATGCTACAGTGTTGGGCTGCTGTGGAGTTTTCCCCACCACAGGGATGTTAAATTTAATTATATTATGGTAACTATTACTAAGCGGACCAGCTATATTCACCTCTTGGACCTGATCCTGTGCTCCACTTAGGACTAAATCAAGAATTGCCCTCTCCTCTTGTGGGTTCCAGGACCAGCTGCTCCAAGAAACAGTCATTTAAGGTGTCAAGGAACTTTATCGCAGCATCCCTTCCTGAGGTGATATGTACCCATGGGGATAGTTGAAAAGCAGGCAGCAGTATAGTTATAGTACTTACCCCCTGAAATCTCATTGTCCTGCTCCCAACTCTCTTATCCACCTGAAATAAGCCTCCAGCAGCCATAAAATGCTCTACTATAATTCCATAGAACAAGGAATTGCTATTTCAGAGAACATCTCAGAACATCTTCCTCACTGTAGGACTCTCACAATATGCAGAAATCAAGACTATTAAGGGAATGCTGTGGAGAGGAGAAATGTTTTTGCAACTCCAGCAAAAGAGGTAATTATCTTGGTGCCAGTCAAAGGATCAAAATCTTTGTAACCAGAGCTTCTGTCCTAAACATCACAGGCAGTGAGACAGACTAGAGCTAAATGACACAGGACCTGGGTTTGACAGGAAGGAGGACAATGAGACAGGATGCTCAGATAAGTAGACAGAAAGGGGCCTCCTTTGAAATACTGACAGCACAGACAGCAGACAGAAGATATTGGGATCAAGCCTTCAGATGGGGGGACAGAACAAGGAGTAGTAATATGGCTGAGTGTGAATGCCAGTACAGGCAGAGTAAGGGACTTTGAGCCGAGTTTCCTTCTGGATATCAAAAATCGAACTAGGTTAGTCACACTTCAGCAGCCCATCTGCAGTAAGTACGCCAATTATCTCAGCTAGAATTGTCAATGTGATTTCACTTTCAACAATAGCAAATTACTTCCAACTCATAAATGAAGGAATGGATGGTCACAGCAAACTCTTATTTCTTTTTATAGATACTAAAACTGAATGACAGTGTTTGACTCCAAGCTTTGCCCTCTTGAGAATTATAAAGCAACCAACACGCTTCTAATACCTGCAACGCTATCTAGCGGAGGCAACACATGCAGAGATGTACTGTAGGCAGGAGACTTGGCCACCCCTGAAATATCCTTGATCACGTCTATGTGTGCTTAAGAGATTGGAGGTGGTTTGTTTTTACTGGAGTAAAGCATGGGAAAAAGAAAGAGCATGAGCTAGTCTGCACCCAGTGCTTTTCTTGAACTATTTTCTCTTCCACTTCCCAGGCCCCCTGCAATGATCAAAGGGCTGATTTGGGGCAGGAAACTATCCAGAATTTGGATTTTTTTCAAGGTGAAAGCACTACTTTTAGCAAGTGATTGCATTTATCTGCCAGAGATACAGAAGAAAAAGAGGGGAGCAGAATTATGTAACCATTATTACCAAAGCTTAGAGGCAAGAAAGTCAATAGTTTTCACTCAACATTCATGGTAAGAAAGAAGAGGTACAGCAAGTACTTCAAAAGCTCTTAACTGATGCAAAGGGCAAGTACTCTAACAGTAGGAACAATGGACTTGCCAAACTGAGCCACCATTCCCTAAGCTCTATTTTAAAAAGAAATCTAGCCAATTGTATTCTAATATCATGGATCCTACTCCCCCACTTTTGATCACTAGTCCTGGACCAGTGCATGGAAAAGGTCTACTGCTCCTGGAGGAATTCTGCACCACTGTTTGTGTGCAGAATTCATATTCATGCAGATTTCTTTGATTCCCTGCAGAAAAATGACTTTGATGGGGAAGCAAAGGAAAGCTGGAAGAACGATCATGTGCCGCTCCCCAGCAGCAAGGGCTTGTCATTTTGGAAGCCCGGAGCAGCTGGTGGAGAGGTAAATCACTACAGCAGTGGTGGCGGGTGGGGAGGGGGGGAGGAGGGAGGAGACGTACACCCTGGCTAGTGCCAGGTCAGACCCCCCCCCCCCCCCCATTGAGCTTCAGCAACAAGAAACCCACTGCACCCGAACCCCCACCTCACCAAATCTCACCCCTGCATCTGGAGCCCCCACGCACCGAGACCCCACTGAGCTGCACCCCCCCAAACCCAGACCTCCCTAGCCTTACTCCAGCTGGTGGCTCCTACCCTGCACCGGGCTCAGCTGCTAGTCCTGGCTTAGCTGGGGGAGGATGAGCAGCACACTTTCCCTGCATATGTCCGGCTGGGGCTGGGTCAGGCCCACTCCCAGAAACCTCCCCGAATCTGCATCCCTCAGACCCCACTTCCTACCCACATTGCTCCTCAGAAGCAGGGGGAAAGGTCACTATGTAGGGAGCTGCTCTCCCATCTCCCAACCCTCCCTGCATGCGGACTCCCACCCCTGCAGACTACCCCCTGCCAAGCCCTATCCCCCTGCATCCAGACCCACCCCTCCGCCAAGCCCCAACCCCCTGCACCCAGACCACCCCCCGCTGAGCCCCTCTGCGCTCAAACCCCCACAAGCCCAACCCCCATGAACCTGGACCACCCCACAGCCCCCCACACCTGGATCCCCACCCCACTGAGCCCCAACCAGCTGCACTTGGACCCCCATCTCACCAAACCCCACTCCCCCAGCACCACCACCCCCGCTGAGCCCCAACCACCTTCGCCTGGACCCCCCTGCAGAGTCCCATTGTCGCTGCACCTGGAACCACCCCCAACCAGCCCGCGTACATCCAGATCCCCCCGTACTCCCTCACTGAGCCACCTGATTGCCCCATATAGAACCCTCTCACCCCACACTAAGCCATTCCACACCTGGTGTGCCTGGCGCAGGGTTGCTAATCCTGGTGAATTGCTTCACCTGCTACTCCTGAGGGGAATTCTGCACCAAAAAAATAAAAATTCTGTGCACAATATTATAAAATTCTGCAAATTTTGTCAATAAATAAATGTGGAGGCTTCAGCATGGCAGTGGGGAGCACAGGAGGTGGGAGATCATCCTGCAGCCCTCCTCCTCCACTCTGGGACATGGACCTTTGGGGCAGGGCTGGCCCGGCCCTTGCGCTGCATCAGGGTTGGATGCAGCCTCACTGCAATCTGTGTCTGGGGGGATGCAGTGTGATCTCCCACCTCCATGCAGCCAGTGGCCTGTGTTCCCTATTGCCATGCTGGAGCATCCATGTTTATTAATTGACAAATAAAATTTGCAAATTTTTAAATTATTGTGCACAGAATTATTTTTTTTTGGGGAGGTGGGGGTGCATAGAATTCCCTCAGGAATATCTACTGGTCTTGAAAACATTTGCACTCAACATTCCCTCCCTCATGAGCTGCTTGAAACTTGAAACTGCTTGAAAGCCCATGCTCTAAAAAAATGTTTAAAAGCTTGGATTCCAAGTGGTAAGATAGTAGAAGGCATTGATTTATAGCTCTAGCAATTAGAGAGAAAGATTGCATAAATCACAAGTATTCAAGTGGAAGAATAACTTACACGGGAATCTGAATAACAGATTCTAAGGTTAGGTATGTTGTACCCCGGCAGGCCTTAAACATTATGCATTATCTCATTTGCAAGCTGGGATGCCAATCATATGAGAACATTCATTTATAGTCCTAATGGCATGAGAGATTTCTGAACTTTAAGTATACCACATCTGAGTCACAGTTTTTTAGCACTGTTCCAGGACTGAATATAGGAAGCCCTGGACCTCCCATAAGGATAATTTTCAATCTATATATACAAACAGGGAGCTTCAGAAACTAGGCCATTTCTATGAGGGTGTATTAGGGTTTTCTTATGCAATATGCAAATTCAACAACTGAATAGAATTCCCCTAAGACTTATGGCTGTTGGATTGAATTCCCCATCATTTTCATACAGATGAAAGATCATCTTCCAGAGAAGAAAAAAGTAATAAGATTTAGAACATCCAGGATACTGTACCATGGAAATCAGGAATACAGGCTGAAGAAACCTATTTACCTGGTAACACCACCTGCCCAGAAGATAGTAAGACTTGGGGTCATCTGGTTTCAGGGCAATTGCTTTATCAACATGTTCCTAAAGAAAACCAGAGCCAAGACACAGAATTAACTTATAATAAAATTATTGTAGTCCATAAACAGATGGAGGGGGGGAAATCAGTGACATAAGTGCCACTGCCAAATAAAAGTCATGGTTGGAAAAGTTCTATTTTAAGCAAATGTAGTAAAATCAAAAAATGCTGTTTTTGCAGCCTTCAAAACTGAAGTTATGTATTCATCTACCAGCCTGGGCATCAACAGTGCAGGCCTCCCTCTCATTAAAGCCCTGGCTGGGATGATTTAGTTGGGGATTGGTCCTTCTTTGAGCAGGGGGTTGGACTAGATGACCTCCTGAGGTCCCTCCCAACTCTGATATTCTGATTCTATGATTATTCTGTCAACATCCCTTAGCCTGGAAGCAGAGGGGCCGCTACTAAGGGTGAAATATTTCTTTTTCCATGCCCATTCAATCCTTAACTTCTTCACAAAGTAGTGGTGGTGTGGAGATTTTGCAGAGTAAAAACTGGACTGAAACAACTCACTCATTTCACACAGGTCAACTCTGAGACTGGACTGTTGTAGTTTTCTTCCACAATTCAGGCCACCTACTTTTGAATCCCTCCATTAGATTCTTATAATTTAGCACATAAAATTCCAAACCAATCTTCCTTGCTTTCTACCTTACAAGCAAGCTCTCAGTAACTCGCATATATGAAGCAGCTGCTCTTTACTCACCTTAAAAACAAACCCAGCTTGAATACGCTTCTGAATACTTTCATGTTCCGAGAACTGGCCACAAAGAATAGCATACCTACATAGAAAACAAGCCCACAATAAAAAGTCACATATTGTCACAATTCCCAATAATGGTTTACACTTCCTTCCAAAGATCTTAAAGTGCTTTACGAACATCAATTAAGCCTCACAACTTTTCTGTGAAAAAAGAGAAACATCATACATGTTTTCCAGATTGAGAAATAAAAGCACGAGAGAAGCAGTGACTTGTCCAAGGTGTGCAAACAACTCAACAGCAGAACAGTGACTAGATCTCAGGAGTCCTGACTTGAGTCCCCGTCTCAATCACCAGACAACAACATTTCCTCTATGTAAGAAAGAATAGCATACTTATTTTACAACATGCTCCCTCTTCCCTTGTCAGTGTCAAAATACTAACACTAGGGTAACTGAAGAGTAAATAGCAACACTAACACATTATTAGATGGATGACTATCCATGCACAAGCGAAGACATGGAGCTTCCTGGAGGAGGTATGGAATCCTACTTTGAGTAAAAAGATATTCTTAAAATCTGCCCACCTCCCTTAGCCCAAGAGCACCTCCACACCAGGAAAACAAAGATAGCAAGCATTTTCAATGATCCAAGCTCAGACTAGTGTAGTTAATAGCTGACATGAAGCCATTTAGTTTATGCCCCAAAACTGTGCCGTAAAGACGTTAGTAATTTTTAACTCCTCTTAAAAATAAACTAACAAAAAAGATGGAAACAAGATTACAACTTCAATGGTAGCCATTTTTCAATAGCTAAAGTTCTATTCGGTCAGCTATGCTGATAGATAGTTTGCCCTCTCACCTTACTGTCCGAGTTCCTTGAACTAGCCTTGGTGCTCTTAACCCTGGTAGTTTGTAATACTGTGTCACAAAAATCTTTTGAATCTCTGTTTAAAGTCATGACGACTTTAGGTCACAAAGCTTTGCTTCCCCTATTGCTCCTACCACTTCCAAATGCTTGAACTAACTTTTCAAGGTGCAAACTATGATGTAAAGTTCTGTCTTCTCTTCTGCTTCTTCCTTTTTCAAATTCCCTCCAGCCACTCACATCTGACTGATAGCACTTCTACATCTACTGCTAGAAACAGCACTTCCCAACTCGGTGAGCATGCCAGACTCCTTCAGTATCAGTACGGGGATTAGTCAAGAGAAGGACTGCATATTCAGAACACAGGATTGTGCCTAAGATGATACTCTATCAGTTTTACAGAACCTGAAGTGTAATGCATGACCCACTTTTGTACTTTGAACATCATAATGATAAATGTATAAGTTAGAATTAAGACGTTTCCATACTCTGGTCCAATAATGAAGTTCCAATTTCCATTGCTAATTTCAGACATTAGTAGAGTGATGCCTTATTGGATGGAGTCCTGGTCCAAACTGGAAAAGCAGTAGCAGCACTCCACCACGCTCCACCCAATGGAGATGCCACTCACAGATGTTCAAAATATGACTGTGTATATTCTGCTGGGCTCCTTGGGTTTGGCTCCCATTCAGTGACATATGGATACACCCATGAACAGGGCTGGATTACAATTTAGGAACAAGAGGCACATGCCTAGGGCACCAGAATCTGAGCTATTTTTTCCTTAAAAAACAAACAAAATAAAAATTCTAGCTCTAGTGGTTGTGAAGAAAAGCTCTGAAACAGATTAAATGTCTGCCTGAGCCTGCAGATAGCTTCCAGCAGAGGGAGGAACACCAGCTACTAGAGCCAGTGGAAGCTATTTGGCCCTACAACCACCACCAGGACAGACCATACTCTGCAAAGGTTTTGGAGGTCAGGGAACTGGATGCCCCTAGAGCCCAAGCCTAGGCCTGTAGAGCTACCAGGCAGCTGATATCTCCAGGCTGCTACCGAGTGGCAGCTGTAATCAACTTGCGCTCCACTTCCCATGACCCGCTGTGAACACAGACCACAGAAAGCTCCACCTCAAGGGTTTGACATACAGCAGGCTTGTAGCTCCTGATTGGCTCCCTGCCCTATATAAACCCACGGGCATTCCAGGAAGTGTTCAGGCAACAGTGTGGATGTTCTGTAGCTGCCATGACTGTTCCTGCTCCTTGCTCTTGAACTTCTGGCTTGATCTCAGCTTGATTTGGACTTTGCCTCCTGATTCTGACTCTTGGTACTGACCCTGGCCTGGACTGGACTACAAACTCCTCTGCTGCTCCCAACCTCTGTTTTTCCTCTGCACTGACCCTTGGTCCTGACTACCCTTGCTGGGATCTTGACGCACTGGGTTTGATTGATCCCCTCTGGCTTTTCGACTTAATGGGTCATAATGAGGAACAAAAAAAAATTGTGGAACTCCCCCAAGTGCCACCCACTCATGGCACCAAAACAGACTGTGCAGCTCTTCATAGTATGACAGTCCCTCTCCTTCTCACATGTTTTGAGGAACACAGTGAAATAGTTAATGTTTGACATTTAAATCATCATTGGGCATCTGAGTGATCATTCTGCTGAGATGAGTGGGGGAACTCATCCTTCTCAGAGATTGTATCAGGTTCTCTGCAAACTTGGGCAGACATTGCTGCACTGACTACACCCAGGTCAGATTTTAAAGGTTTTATTAGCAACCAAAGCAGCTAAGAATTACTGCATTTTTTTAAAAAATGAAAGTTGACATTTTGAACAAGATGACAGCCTCAAACACCCACCTACCCCAGACCTGGTCACTAACCCAGTCCAATTAGAGCCCTACGTGAACTCTGCTAGACAGCTACACAGATTTCAACTGGTGCTGTATCCAGCTGCTAGTGTTATTACCTATACCAAGTGTTTTCAATACACTTCAGGGGAGTGGACTAGATGACCTCTCGAGGTCCCTTCCAGTCCTACAATTCTATGATTCACCTGACCTAAGAAACCTGTAAACTGTGTTGCTATAATAGTGCTTGTCAATAAAATTAACAGAGAATAACTATATATTAAGAATTCACTAAACTGGCTCTTGATTATGATCCCAGTATTACAGACAACAGGCCAAACCTAGCTTGCACATCTTAGCTCTATACTGCAATCTCCTGGTCCAAGTTGTGCCTTGAGTTCCAGGGGTGTCAGCCTGTTGGTGATTCTTACCTATCTGTAAGACTATTTCAGAACTATCTCATTGTGCCTTTTAGATCTGGAATTCCCCTCCTCAGTCAGTTTGCAATGCCAATATGGTTTCTTCTTTCATTTGTTTAATTTGGCTTATTCTTCAATATATGAGCTGTTCACTTTGAGAGGCCCGATAGAATTATAAGAGGATTGACTAAGTGTGATAAGACTTTAAAAAAAAAAAAGGAGTTAGAAGAGGGGATTTTCATCTCCTATAAACATTAGGTAATATCTGAAATACAGCATGAATTAGAAAGTCCCATTTCAGACAGCTGTCTAAGCAGTTCCTGAAACTTTGGAGTATGCCACTTGCAGCACTAATTATTAACCAGAACTGTTCATTAAGCTGTTGACCTGGGTCAAACCACAAGCTCCCACAGGGGTCTCAGCACGATAATGGGTTCTCCATTTGCTGAGAAATGAACTCCACGGATCAGGAATGGCTGATATCATAGGCAGGACACACACGTACATCTGCCCTCCCTACTCAAGTTCCAGAGTTCAGGTCACATGGCTGCCTTAAGACCTCATTTCCAACACTGCACTTCGGCTGACTCCAATTTAAGCAGGACTTTTGCCCTCGTGGGCTGACAAAATGTAAAATATACAGTTCTCCACAGCCCAGCACCTGCAAAGTAGCATTTAGGGGGTCATGCCAACCAAACAACCCCCTTATCTTCCTCAACTGATAGGCCTTCGAAATAGCCACACTGTGTTGGTGGTTCCTTTTGACACAGTACAGACAGTAAATGTAAAAAACGAAATGGGGGAGGGGAGATGTGGGGTGGGAAAACTGTTTCTAACCAAAATGATATAGTGGAACTGAGCAGGTCATTTTATTTTGCCAAGTGAGGCTTGAAGTCTGAAACTCAGACAGGTGACCATTACAACAATGGGAAAGAGCTTTCCTTTTATTTATTTGAACTAAAAGAACTGCTCTGTGTACTTTCAAGAGTCATCAACAAATACTTTTATTCCTATTAGCATTGCACTAGTCAATACAGCTATGGAAGAATGAGCAGGATTATATTCCTTATCTAACTCACAGGGTACAGTACAGTAATTTAGAAGTGCACATTTTTTATTATTATAAAATATTATTTCCCAGGCTGATGGGATTCAGGAGTACTCTGGAGGCAGGGAGGGCTTTTGGCTTTGGGGAAGGAAATTGAGATGGGCTGCTTTGAATCCCTCAGATTTTAAGGGGAGCTACAATCATTCTCCCTAGGATGGAAGAGTAATGGCAGCAACACAAATATTTGAGAGTGAAGACTGTAAAAGGGCAAGGGAACAGAAAGTTCAGGAGTTCAATAGGGATGGACAAAGCCTACATCAATGTTAGGAGAAGCTGACATAATTAGGATAATTACAATGGGGTTGAAAATTGCGATTTAAAATGCAGTTTTACAACATTAACAACCAGCCATATAAACCCCATTTGAACTCAAATGGATCTTTAAATAAAAATGCTTTCAGTCTGTCCATATTTGCCCTGAGGCCTGGCATTAACAAAGAAAGAAACCCTAGAGAGGTGTTCTATTACTCAGCATGACTGCTTGTAAATCCTACCACACTTGGGAGACTGCATTGGGAGTTCCCATTACTGCTGGTTACAAGAAGTATTTGAACAGCTAGTAATTAGTGGTGAGTTTGCAGGTCTGGCTCCAGTTAAAGAGAACGCTCGCTTTCTTTCTCTCACAAGTTACTGCACTGGCCAGGTAAAACAAGGAAGAAAGCAAGTTTCGTACTTAGGCATTATTTCAATTAAAACAATTTTATACAGACTTCATATTTTAACATACACCCTGCCACCCTGGGCAATTCTCTAGGTCTGTTTCACCCTATGACCACCACCACAAGGCACTGAAGGAAGCATTACTGTAAACAAGTATGGATCTGCTCTCCCGTGCCATC